AACATGAGAAGGCAAGGCCGCTGTTGTCCGACAAAGCGAAGATCCTCCATCAAGGCCTTAGCAAAGTGCGATGAGCAGAAAATGAAGAAAACATAAGCTGGTAAAAGATCTCTTCAGGCTTGCGTGTTACGGCGCATAAGCGGGAATTGAACGTTTACGTCGCTGGTCTCCTCGTTCAACAAAAATGCTTGAGAGACGTAATACTCAAGATTCCTGCTTCCTAACGATGCCATAAAAAATCTGCGGATTTCTAGTATTTTAAATGTGAATCATTTTTAGCGACCTTCGATGACATTGAGCACATCTATCTATCTATCTATCTATCTATCTATCTATCTATCTATCTATCTATCTATCTATCTATCTATCTATCTATCTATCTATTTGACGCGCGGTTCAAGACATGAATAATGTCACAATCTCGTCGCGTACGTCGTCAAACACTTCCCGCCGGGCAGTGGCACATACACACGGGCAGGTATGTGCCACTGACATCCGCGTATGTGCCACAGGTGATTGATACTAAGTATCTTTCCAGGAACGACGAGAACACACATAGGCTATTTTAACGCGCGAGCGTTAAGAAATACTCAATATCGGTAGCGTCAATGCGAGGAACGCAAAAATTAAATGACAGAGTTCCAGCTGGAATCAAACTCAAGCATTCTGCGTGGCAACGAAGCATTTTCCCACAGAGCTTCGCCAGATCTAGGAAGTACTTCTAAAATAGACGCTAATCTTCGTAAAACGTCAATAGTGGTTGCAGTGCTGCCTACCCAGTTTTACAAACACTACCTATGTACTATTTTGATACAGCCGTCACGTTGGGATAACGTCAATTGTGGTTAGTTGCCATACGCTGAAGTTGATTTCTGTAGCCGTTTCCAGGGCCAGCATCCTCGCGAGCATCAGCGCTTCATAGAAGCTTCTGGTGTTGCTAATACGCGTGTTCCAGTTGGCATCGTCGCGCGAGTGCAAACAACTGGTTATATAAACATCTTAAACTCTTCAACATATGTCTGTGCATGCAACACTTGTAGATATATATTTTTCATCATTTGATTACGTGTCACTCAATAAAATTAATTGTAACACGGTAAATTTCCCTCCGCATACTTCGCATAACGTCGATTTTCAGGTACGTGAGATCTGCCGATTTTTTTTTTTCTTTCTTGACAGAACTGGCGTGCTATCCACGGCGACGTAACCATGCCACTGCGATGCAGCGTGCCGGTCAGCGTAAGGAATGCCGCATTCGTTGACTCTGCAGGGCATTATTGCATTGCTCAGGACATTATTGGCTTACCTGGTAGGCCTGCCAATGTACTGCTCACCAATTTTGATACGAATGCTCAAACTGGCAAAACCATGCGGACGTCGTCCACGTTGCCCACACGGAGCCATGCCACGAGAGAGCATCAAGCATCTCCCCTCTCGGATGCCTCTCGAATGCACGCATTGGGACGATGCACATTTTTGAGGTGGACTAATGCCACAGGTATTACTCTCAATAATCTCTTTTTTAAGAGGACCAGCAAAACGCTGTGTGGGTGTCTACATTGCCTCGCACGTTCTCACGCATCTTGGTGGAGTTCAGCGCATGCCGAGCTCTCGTGCCCGGGCTTGAGCCGAGAAACTGACTTACCTGGTGTTTTTCACAAAGGCGCACGTGTGTAGGACACTTTAGTGGACTCAGATACCTAGTTCAATGTATCAGATACCTACTTTTCTGGGCACAAGTTCGCCCTTAAACTTTGTGTGTGTGTGTTACTCCTCTTGCAGTCCGTGACAATATTGCCATAAATGCACACCACTATGGGCAGTTTCATTTCTTCCGCATGCGACAAAGTTTCCAATATCGTCCCACGGCGAAGATGCATGATTGACTGAATAACAAAGGAAGATGGTGAAACTCGCCGAGAATGACAAAACAAACAGAGTTAGCGTGTCTGCAAAGCGTCATAGGCCGAAGAAACCCAGCAGCGCGAATGAAAAGTGTTATTTCAAGTTTACAAGAAAAAAAAAAGCTACGACATGTATCTTACCGGCAGTGTCTTAGCATGACTCAGACACCATGGTATGTCAGAGAAATCAGTTACTAAAACTAACTCATTACCTACCTTTTATTTCGTCTCCCTCCCTCTTGCACTGTGATACATCCTTGTTTTATTTTTGTCTTCGATGCGACGTTCACGTGGATACAAGGATGCACGTAACATTCTCATTGCCACAGACATGACTTCTCGGGACGCGTCTCAACCGTTTGTTCGTAATGTTATTCAGTGGGCACGTGTGCTTTTATACCGGACTTTTCCGCCGAGGGATTTAACGGTCATCTAAAATTACCTTATTTTATGCATGACGCGCGCGCATTATAGGCGGCCAAGAAAAATTCGAATTCCGTCATGGTGAATCACCACCGTTCTACAGAACTACGCCCTCTAAAGCTTTCTGTCAAGGTGTAAGAAAAAAAACGGTGTGCTGCAAGATTGAGACGGCAACAGGTGTGCGGAGGTTAAATGGGCAGTGAGCGAAAGAGTCTTTCCCGGTAGCGAACGCTTGCAGAAACGGCGAAATATAACAACGTCATCACATTCCAGTTCTGTCTTTTACAGTGGCGCTCTCGTATTCTTAAGCTCGCTTCTATCGCTTGACGAGGATGGAGAGTAGTGGAAGGTACAAGAAAGAAAGCAGTGATTAGTCATGCTTCTCAAGATGACGCTTCATCCCTGAAAAATGAGGCCTACCTAATATTCTACACTCTCAAAAAATATTTTCAGTTCTTCACCGCTTGTACCTTGGAATTTTTTCTGAACTAAAGCAACTGAATGACCATTAGAAATGCATGTATATTATCTAAGAACGTAAAACCTTAATTCGACACTATTTCGTTACCACAGGTAAGCCTTGTGAATCAAATCGAAGCAACTGAAGCACGGCTTCTTGCACAATACAAAGTACAATATAAGCTTGCACGATAATAAAACTGATACTTGACAAATTAGCAAGTTTTTCACAATATACGGCAGTCCGAATCGTTTTTGGCATGGTGGAGGATGACGATTGTGAAATATTAAGCTTAATTTGAAAAGGCATATCAGGCTTTTTTTTTCTTTTGAAGCGTTAGCCATAACTGAAGGCATAATACCCAATGTTCCTTTTTTGGTGTTTTCCTGAGTCAGAAACGGCGACAAGCTGACAGGTCTTCACCAATCGGCCGCACGCGACTTCCGTGCTAATAAGCCTTCTTCTACCGTTTGCATAAAAAAAAAAGGTCAGGTTCGAGTGCGCTGCAAGATTCAGACGGCAGCAGGCCTGCGGAGGTTAATGGGCAGTGAGCAAAAGAGCGAGAAAAAATTGGCCCACTAAGCCACGCAAGCCTTCAAACACAAAACTGGACGATTCAGGAATCTGCTTGCTCCACGGTTGCTTCTACGTCTTAGATAGGTGATGCAGGCTGTTTCTATAGGTTGCTTCTAGGTCATTGCTAGGCCTTTAACAAGCCTTTTCTTGTTTCTACGTCAGTTATCAGCAGCAGAGAGGTTCAAGTTCAAAGTCGGTCACCGCCATGACATGGGCACGTCGTTCGCGTAAGTCTTGCAGTCGATTCGGGGTCTTTTGGCACCCGCCCTTGCCTTTCCCGTTACCTGGTATTCTCTCGTTGTACACATCTTCGGTTCGCCGCTATTACATACTATGTAACTACTTTCATTCGTTACTTTTTACTATGTGACGTGTAACGTCACGCAACGGTTAAATGTATGCACGACAAAGGTCGCCGCTTTGCTGCCCTTTGTGTATCGTTGGCACTTGTATATACATTCAAGGCTTCCATATCCTTAATGAAAAGGTAATGAAGCCAATGAAGGAAGCCAAGGAAGTAAGCCAATAAAGTCAAAGAAGGTAGCGTGCGAACTACGCGGCATCAACTGCATAATATGGACTGCCGTTTTGGAAATCGTGCTTGTCCTAAATTAAATCATTTGACGGGCCCCTGTTCGCATGACCTTGCTAGTTCAGTACTATGTATTCACCAGGATCAATAGTTTTCCGTTATGTTACCAGTGGAGAGAGATTTCACGGAAACTAGCACTATGCGAACACATTAAACAGAAAGCTACTTTACGCTTTCTTGCATGCAGTCGAATATGACCATGTCATTTGTACACATCAAGAAACCATTTAGTATTAAGCTGTCGCAGAACTTTCAGACTGTGGTGTTTCACGCCCGAAAACTTGATTTTCCAACAGTGAACGATGGTTAGGCATATCTAGCGCAGGCTTATCTAGCATGACAAAAACACAGTAAAAATTGCAAATATTTTGCTTATTGCCGCCTCATTCAATGACGCTCTCGATCTGGGGGTCACGAACTGTGCTAAATTGACGCTATTTGTGTTACATGCCTGGTTGTTCCTTTCTTTCACAGCGGAATATCTGTCATACATACAGCATAAGTCATACAGCATAATTTTGTCAAGTGAGACCTGGACTAGTCTGCCATCCTGCTGCAACTTGACTTCTGACACTAGTTGGTTCGTACTTAAAACGCTAACCAGCAACAACAGGTACACATGATTTCGCTCACTTCCTAGGTTTTTTCCATCTATGCATCTTTATTTGCTTTCTTGAGTGCTATCATCTTTATCTGCTTATACCTTTCTCGCCTCTACATGTTTTCTACTACAGATATAGTACCCCCCTCTAGGTGGCAGTAAGCCTGATCAGCCCCTATTCTCGTCCGTGTCGTTGTGTTTGCATGCGTATGAATATCGAATATCAGAATAGCTAATGCAATTTTGAAATGGATTGAAGTCTGTGCGTATCACCATGACCGCAAAATGTGTGCGCTATCTGACCGTTGCGTTGAGACACGAGCTTTCCTTAGCTCAGGACAACGTCGTGATCTAAAGATAACGACACTGAAAGTAGCCTCATGTGTCGACCATTTACAGTATCCTGGTACTTTTCTTTTACTATGTTCAGTTTAAAAATTAGCCTGTTGTCAAGCGTGTGATCACTGCCTTTTATTGTCGGTATCTGTTCTGTTTTCAGTAGCCACACCCTAGCAGCAGGGCCAGAGGACCTTGCCGGCGCTTTCGGAGATGGCCCAGGACAGGGTCCTCTCGATGCTGACGGCCAGAATGTCGCGGATCACCTCGTAGTATCCCCAGCGCAGCTTCTGAGTTTGGGGGTTTTCGTCCAGGCCAGTGAATGTGGTGGTGAAGTTTCCGAGCTTGGGGAAGGCGCGTGCCCTGGGCCCCTTCCAGGCACCGGCGGACACGTACAGGCGGCCGTGAACCTCCGGAAACGTCGTGTCAGCCGTGACGGTCGTGCTGTTACGGTCGTACTTGAGCTGGCTCTTCACACTCACCTGAAAGATGCAAAGTTTTACCTAGGAAGCGACTATCTGAATAGTCTAATGAACAGAGATTGTAAACGATAGGAGAAAAGCGAAAAAGAAAACTGGTATCCGTTACGCTTTTTGGTGAGGCATGACTTGCCGCTCAAATGACTTTCCTTAAAAAGATACGTTAATTCTATTGTACTCACCGACGATAGCATAATGATCTTCAAAGAGAGTGAGCGTGTCTCTTTAAAGAAAGTCCCATACGTGGCAAGCTATGTCGCGACGAGTATGATGACCGCTAACCCCGCCTTTGGAGAACGTTGCCGAGTGCATGGGTGGTACTGTTTCTTTAGTCGCGGAAGTGGCCGGCAGCCGTGCTGAGGTCATCTGAGTAGGCCTTATTCAGATTTCTTAAGCTGTTTATGACTGTATAATAACATTTCTCGGCTTGCCTGGTTTATCTGAGGCATGTCAGACGGCACGAACTATCCAGCGTCTCATATTTACGACGAATGTATCTGGTGAAAGGCTAATCACAAGCCTGCGGCTGAACTAGAATTCTCTTACTTATACTACGCATCACCGTTAACCGTCTCCGAGATTGAGCGCATTAAATCTTGCAAGCAGTCATCCCCTTTACCTTGATTTCTCCGTAAGTGACGTTGCAGCCAACGTATACTCGGTACGGGAACAGCCGGTTGTAAGACGAGCAGTCTCCCGAGCGCTGGATGGTGCCGAGACCGGTAATGGTTGATGGCTGGAACTTCACGCTCACGACGTGTGGGTGGTCCCTGATGTGGAAGCTGAAGCCACGCGTTGTCAAGGGGTCAATCTTCTCGGCGGGAAGCTCTTCCTTCAGTATCTTGTCCACGTACGCATTAAGATCCTCGGTGGACTGCTGTTGGCTGAGCCCTGCAATAGTGACCAGTCCCAGTTAGCGTGCCAATGGCGAAGAGCTTGTCGGGCTTTAAAAAAAAGTGATTTAATATGTTCGGTGGTGTATCGGTTTCAAGCTCGATCCGTTTGGCGACCTCACTGGGATCTTCTACCTTACTCGTTAGTTGAGATGGTGGAAGCGTCTGCCTTCGCATGACGGTTTAGATTCAAGTGGCTGGCCAGGAAGAATTTACTCACCACAAGAAAGGTTGTCCTTTCGATTATTATGCACTTGTTTAAACTGGAGCTTCATGATATAGAAAAATGCACTAAATGCAGAATTCCTAGATACCTGTGCAAACGGATTTATTGGGTTAATGTTCATGTAAAAGGGCAGCACCAAAAATGTATACATAGATCGAGAAGATGGAAGGACATGTGCTGTACTTACGAATCACCCACACAGAGCACAGTAGAATGTTCTGTCATACTCGCATTCTTCGTATTCGCTTTTGGCGCTGCCTTTCTACATCTGTCGCTAAAGCATGGAAAATTTTCATTTACACGAGCCTGATATCACCTTTTGATCTTCTACGAAAGCAATCAGATATGTTATTAGGATAATGATTGATTGATATACGAGGTTTAATGCCCCAAACTCACCATATGATTATCAGAGACGCCGTAGTGGAGTGCTCCGGAAATTTCGACCACCCGGGTTTCTTTAACGTGCACCCAAATTTGAGCACACGAGCCTACGGCATTTTCGCCTCCATCAAGAATGCTGCCACCGCAGCGATGGTATTAGGACGGCTTAGATAGTTTTACTCTTTCTCGCGAACCATAAAGAGCCACACATCATCAAGACCATCATAATAATGTCCTTTTCTTTATCTTCATTGTTAGTATGGCACAAGCTGCGGACAAAGCGTGAACGTGGCTTCGCAGAATGAGACCGTAAGGATTGTAAAGCTGAATGTTGATGCAGTGGCGGTACAAAGTGTTTTGGGGAGGCTGACATTATTTTGAAGCCGATTATTTCCTCGTATTCTGAATGTAGAATGCCAAAAAAAGGAGAGACAGTCAATAGTGTCTTTTCTGTCTATTCTTTCTTTGCTGCAGATGTTTTCTTGTATTCCAGTAAACAGCACCAACTATCCCAACAACAAGTACTACTGGTCTATATCGAAGTAGGAACACCGATGAGTATTGTTAACTAGAAATCACAAGGACTTAATAAGTTAATTTCTGTTCAACCACGGCCCCGCCGCGGTGGTCTAGTGGCTAAGGTACTCGGCTGCTGACCCGCAGGTCGCGGGTTTAAATCCCGGCTGCGGCGGCTGCATTTCCGATGGAGGCGGAAATGTCGAGGCCCGTGTGCTCAGATTTGGGTGCACGTTAAAGAACCCCAGGTGGTCAAAATTTCCGGAGCCCTCCACTACGGCGTCTCTCATAATCATATGGTGGTTTTGGGACGCTAAACCCCACAAATCAATCATCATTCTGTTCAACCACGGACGCTGTGTATCTACCGACCACTATGCTTATCTTTGTCTTCAGTGCTCTGATTCTTTATAATGTACAAGGTATTGTAGCTGTCATAAGGACATGCGAAAACCTCTACGTATTAACGTTCTATACGCGATAAATACTTAAACACACATTCCATGCATTTGGCTGTTCCGACATGATGTACCTTTGTTCTTCCTGTTTTATGTTTTTCTTAACGTCTCATTTGCTCGTAATGCTAAAATCCTTTTGGTAAGCTCATTTGAAATAATATGAACATATTTATTCATGAAGAAATATGACTATCTCATTTGTCTTGGAACAGACAGTGCTTACTTCTTAGATTTTATGCACAAAAATATTCACTGTATTGCTACGATTTGTTAGCAATCTCATAACATTAGTGCTACTCTTCTGATTCCAATGTCGAAGTGGCTTCAAAGGGGAAAAAAAGACGTGCGTAAAATGCGTTTTTATCCAAGTAAAATTTGTCGCTGTATTGAAAGGCTGTGCCCCTACATATAACGGCAACGTCTCGCTATCACGCTTAGTTCGATCGTCAAGTTTGTTTCGTTATTGTTTTGACAGCTCCTTGGATAAGAGCAGCGTCCAATATGACGGGGCTTAGCTGATTAGTTGCAAGATATGGACATCATAATTGCGAAGAGAACTGTTTCAAGCGCGTAAGCATACCAAATAACCACATATAACCTCAATCAAAATGAACTTAAGAGATATTCGTCAATTAATCTTGCAGTTAGTAAAAATGTCGAAATATTAGATGCGGAGCATCTAATACTCGAGGCTTGTAGTGCGGCGCCGTCCGCAAGCTTCCTCCTCCTTCTTCCACCATCTGTGCATTCCTTCCTCCTCTACACACCGCGCGCGCTTCACTCCTCCACCATCTGTGCAACCTTCCTCCTCTACAGACCGCGTGCGCTTCTCCTCTTCACGAACATTCGCTAGCTGTATAATGTAGCGCGCATGCACCGTCACGCTTCGAGAACATCGGCAGCTGACGCGCGCGCATGCGCCGTTGCACTTCTTCCCCTTCTCGAACATTCGACAGCTGACGCGCGCATGCACCATCACCCACCATCTGTGCCGCGCGCGCTTCTCTTCTTCGAGAACATTCTACAATTCTCCTGATTCTCCAGTGGACGCGCATGATTCTCCAGTGGACGCGCAGTGGACGCGCCGTCGCGCTTCGAGAACATTCAACAGCTGACAGTGCATGCGCCGTCGCGCTGTATATATACTCAAGGTCGGCGCTCGCTCGCTCAGTTGCCGCTCGTCGGTTGGTTTGTACGGCGCGTCGACGTCCAAGGTCGCGGTGAAATGAATTCCAACGAATCCACAAACACAATGATCGACGTCCCTTCGACCAGCGCCGCCCTTTCGCATACGTGTGTACGTGTTCACTCATTTAACACCCCCTCCTACAACCACGTTAACCAATTTAGCCATCGACCCAAGTAAGTCGCAATTTAACACCCCATTTCACAACCACGTTAACCAATTTAGCCATCGACCCAAGTAAGTCGCACTTTAACACCCCATTAACCAATTATATGCTCCGCATCCTCCTCAGTCTTCCCCCGAGGGAAGCTGCGGGCAATTTTTTTGCATGCGTTAATTTTCTCCATAACAAGAAGCAAAACGAAGCAAATTTATATATATTTGTGAACTGCTGGTGGAAGAACCTTTTTCTCGACTTCTACAGTTCAGGGTACGTGTTTGTAAGAACATCCTAAGCCATAGTGGTTCCTGGGAGAACACTTCAGCTCAACCTGATGCTTGTACATAAAGTCGCCTATTACGGCTTGCCATTCCCGAATGTCACTTACAAAAACAAAGCTTCGTTAGTTCAATCCTTGAGTTGGTATGGCCAAAAGTTTGTTATCGCATTTACTTGGGCTCCATGCAGGCTTGAAGGCGAAAAAATCATCTTTATAACGATAATTTATTTGTTATTGCTCTATAATAAAGATTGGGTAGTGTATCAGGGATAACTATGTACTACGTGTCTCACATTACAAGCAGCCCAGGAAGAAAACTTCAATGGTTAGGTAAAATTCAATGCCCTTAATAGGGGCGCACAAGCTAATTTCTCAACAGATTGTAATACTCCTTCAAAATATAATTTAACAAGAAGACATTATTCGAGTGAACGAGGACTTCACTGCACGCGGATGAACAGTGCAAGACTGCACAAGTTCAGGATTTAAAGTATTCCTGTTCTGTTATACCCTGTAAGCTAAGGCGGAGCCTCTACTTTCAAACATTGGAGCTCTGGCGTAATTAGTGCTCCAGTGGCTAAAGCTACAGAGCCCCCCCCCTACAAAATACGCATGAACATACGCAAGGTGTAATAGCACTCTGCGCCTCCCCCCCCCCACACACACACCCAAAATTACTGGCTACAATTCAGCACTCGAGCCTCATTATTTGAACTATACCTTAACATTCGCGTTACTACATCACATGTTCTTCAACAAAAAGAATTCATTCGTGAGTTGTTGGGCTTATGCGTTTCGTTTTTGTTTAAAACCGGCTGCAGCAGAACAAATAAAAAGAAAAATAGCGCACAAATTATGTGCACAAATATACCACAGCTCAGGTGAACAGCACATTATATTAACGCCCCCGCAGAAGCTTATGTTAAGTACATATTAGAAAAACAATACCCTGTTTACTGGCACCACGATTACATATCACATAACAAATAGTCGGAGTTTCGGCGCAAGGCCGAAGCATTGAATGCGGTAGCGTCCCATCGCATGGTTATACGAAATAGGGTCAAGAGACTTAAGAGCAATTCGAAATGTAGTGAAAAGAGCAGAATGTACATTGAGCTGCAGCGTTTCGCGCATGTGCAGCAGCGCGTTCTTCCTATGCCTGGCTACGTATGCGAGCCCATCTTACTTCAGCGCGACTAGCATTCAGTTGAAGTTGTTCCGCAGGTGTTCGTAGAACACAGGAGGTATCACTATGGCCGAACTACATAGAACGTTTCCACCGGCGTTCTTGCGGCGTTTCCTTCCTTGGCGTCAGTTGACGTCGACGATACCAGTGACGGTAGCCAAAAATACAGTTCCAATGCACTTCACCAAAACGTCGACCTCGAATTGCCCCAGACATTTCAGCATGAGCCTCTTCCCCAGAAGCAGCTGGAGGGTGAAAGAAGCCTGCTTGCTTCTGCCTTCGGTCGGTTGGTATATGGTACCCACCGACCACTGGGGATCGGCATTGAAACCGGCGTTCAATATATATATATATATATATATATATATATATATATATATATATATATATATATATATAAGGAAAAGAAGTGTATACCTAAGGGCTCGTTTTTCCGTGTTTTAACACAATATTAATGAGATCTAACAGACAGTAATGCCAAGGAATGTACAGGGGAAGTTATTAGAACCAATGGAATGTAAATAAGAAGAAAGAAAAGTGTATGAAAGATAAACAGCCGTGGGCAGGAATCGAACCTACGACCTTCGAATAACGCGTTCGATGCGTTATTCGAACGCGTTATTCGAAGGTCGTAGGTTCGATTCCTGCCCACGGCTGGTTATTTTTTCATCCCCTTTTCTTTCTTCTTATTTACATTCCATTGGTTCTAATAACTTCCCCTGTACATTCCTTGGCATTACTGTCTGTTAGATCTCATTTATATATATATATATATATATATATATATATATATCTTCAGCCATGGTAGCCGCATTATGATGACGTCAAAATGTGACATTGCCGTACCACTTACAGTTATGTTTATTTGAAGCAAGATAGTTGAAAGTGAAGCTGTATCTGTGCGCAGAATTCTTCCTTTACAGGAAATTACCAATCGTTGTGATGTAATTATTACAGCATTTACGTAATCATCGTTTTAGAAGTAAACAGGTCCATCAAACTAAAAATAATTGACATCATAGAATATTGCTGTCGTTTACATATTACTCTGACCCGAATAAATTGGCTGTGTAGTCTATTCGGCCAGAAGAACAAAATAAAAACAAAAATGATCGACCATTAACATCCGGGAAAGAATTGCTGAATATACTGAAGTAACCTCAACTGTATTGCAAGGCGTATTTCCCAAGTTCTCTCTTTTCTTAAATTTTGATTAAGCACGAGTTGGCAAATGAAACCTGTCGTGCTCACCAGACGTTTTTTTGACTGAAGTTCGCGAAATGGTATGAAAACTAAGATCTAAAGCTTTACTTAGAAAATAGGACTAAGGAAAACAGATAAATTCGTAAAACAGCCACCGGTCAATCTTGCTGACACATTCATGCAAGACGTGTGTTATTGCCAGACAATCACGAAATTTTATTTCACCCAAAACATAGTTAGCCGTGATATCTGTATTCCCCAAGCCGTCTACGATTGAGCGTAGTTTGTAAAAAAAGGGCACCGCCTAACACTAGTGTTCATATATATATATATATATATATATATATATATATATATATATATATATATATATATATATATATATATAATGAATCTGAATAACGGACGTGCTGCTACTGAAGAAGACGATGATGATCGGTGGCAGTAGTAGTAGCTCGAGCACGCCGCTCGCTGGTAGCCAGACCTGCCTCTTAAAGCACCTTTCGCCAAGCTGCGTCGGAAGCTTCCTCGACGTACAGCACCTATATATATATTCGACAGAAACATAGATGGCCTCTACGGTGGTCATCATGAAATTCGTTCTTCAAAAGTCGTATGCTGTACATGCCATGGTGCATATAACAAAAAACAAAAACAAACCATATATGTAAAATTAGTGCCTGTCGTACGAATGGCGGATTTTGCATCTGCGGTCATAGTGTGTTGCGTAACATCCAATGTCGCGATCTGCATTTATATTGAAAGCTCGAAGACAATCTTTTCCGTGAGGCCAAGCATTGCCTTGTTCCATTCCTAACTTTTGGCTTCGCATTGTAAGCTTACAATGTGTACGCAAGGACACAGTCATATTGCACAATCTTTTACTTCCGTCAGGCATTAATGACAGAAATAAAACTGATATCATCTCGACATTCCATCCCCATTGGCATGCAAAGTTGGCGTGGTTGCGTCACTTTGTGGAAGCGTCTCATAGTCCCGGCATTTCCCCCTCTGAATACAAAGTCGGTGACCCGGATGACAAATTTTTAGACGGGGATGTCAAAAGAAGATTTTTTAGAGGGAAGAAACGACTAGAAAATGGCATTGCCGAACTGTACTACTAACTCCAGAGGAAATTAATATGCGCTATAGATATGCGAGGGCAAAAAATGCTTGCATGCTTGTTATCGATATCCTTTCGGTAACTGCATCTATTATTGTAGGCTTATATCTTTGTATATTGCGCAAGGCTTAATTATAGGCAGGTGCAAAAAGCACAAACTAAGGACACTTTACTAAGTTCCGATTAAGACCTCCCTTCAGCAAAGTTTTGCACTAACTAAAATAATGGTCGATTACTAAGTATAGTCCAATACAATTTTCTGTCCAGTGATGTAACTGCAAACGCTACATTTGAGCAATTCTTGGAACCGAGATGTTAAGTGGAAACGTTTTGATCCGCTAACCACAAGCAATATGATACTGTTTAGTGCAGAAAAAGAGTTGCGTTTTATAGGTGAACTGTCATGTTTGACAAGTTTATTGTGTTACTTGGCACCACTGCTAATAACAGTTGTGTCATCGAATGGCCCCAAATCTGTAAAAAACAGATATATCTTTGTCTAAAAAATTTCTCAGTTTTTCGCGACGCAATGTACACCACCTCATAAAATACAGATATTTGTAAGTTATCTTGTTTTGGTTTTGAATACTGGCATAATTCGGCTTAACTGTTGAATGTATAGACTCGAAAATTTTCTGTCGCTTTTAAAATGTTTTCGTAATGAAAGCTAGAGTTGTGATAGCCACTAAAATAAGCTTTAAATATTCCTAGCCTAATAGCTATAGTATAACTCTTATATCTCATTTGCCATCGTCTAGTGCACCCTATGCGCTTTCCATGCAAACATGTTTTGGCTAGCCCATACAACATTTGAAATATATATGAGCGTTAATGGGTGATACCTGCGTATATATTTGTACTTCCAAAGATAGCTGCGGACGTTATCCAACTTTGTAGCCAAACTTACGGAGCGTTAACCACCTGTTATAGAGGACATTTATTCCCTGATGAGGTTGTGGGTGCTATTCTTGAGCGACGCCTAACGTAGTGTAGCTTCTTTTATGACCATTTCGCCGAAGTGCAGAAACCGTTATGTTAACCATGTGACGTCTATTTCATCTGCTGGCGACGAACAAGACTGCGGATCCACGAGAAAGAAAAAATGAACTTACCCGCTAAGAGCAGAAGCGTGGTCGTGAAGAGGATCATCCTTCTGCAAAATAAACGACGCTTCAGTGGTGTGATACGTGTTTGTGAAACTAAACAAAGAAAAACGTGTATGATTCAGTAGGCAAGCAGCTTAACCGGTTGTGTACGTCTGCCAAAGGGCATGCGAAACACATTTTCATGGTCGCTATCTTTAGAATATGTGCGGCTAAGAAGACCCAACTTTGATGCAGGAGACTGACGTGGATGACAAGTTTACAAATCGAAGTTAGTGCCTTCGTGCTGGTAGGTCTTATCTCACCGTAGTGCCTGCCGGTTTGGATGCGCTGTTAAAGCTGTTGTGAGCCGAATGCCTAATTATTGTGGGCCCCACAACACGGCGCCCTCAACTGGGCAATGCTGTATGACACTGCGTGTGTACGTATTGGGATGAGCTTTCTCAACTGCGACCAGTTGGATCCGAATGAAGTACCATATCGGGGCAGCTGTTGACATACCCGCCATGATATCTTGGCAAACTGTCGCTCCACTAATGTTGATGACGCGGATTTATATCGCGTCCATGATAGCTGTATTCAGGGCGATATATATTGATGTGTTCAACACATTAAACTGCAGCATCAACATTTGCTATATCATACTTGACATTCAGGGCTATATCGGGCGAATTCGAGAAACGCGGCCGTTTTTGCGACACAGATCGCATCTGCGTCTTTATTTCGACTTGAGTTACCACTGGTGGCGTTGCTGCTGAAAATTTGACTTTCACACGTTACGGCATATCCTCTACTTTAGAAAGGCGTGGCGAATAGGTACGGCTATAAAGAACAGGTCGCATTTGTGACTTACCTTGGTGGTGATTCTGCGCCTTCTTGAAAGTACCGAAATGCCGCGACTACTGGAGCGTCTCCCTTATAAGTCGAACCATCATGTGGTCTATTTATCAGCTCGCTGGAAAATAAAAGTATAGCGTCCTGTTGGAGTCCCGATATAGAATATGAGCTGTTTGTGCCCCGCCGATTGTTTATCGGTGTTCAATAGATAAGCCTCGCACCAGTGGTGTCAGCGAAGAAAGGAAATATGCTGCTATGAATGATAACACGCCGACTACACGAGAAGTGCCATGATTGTACATTGTTTCGAGCTGATAGCCTTGTTTGTGAAGCGAAGCTGAGTCAGGCAATACCTGAGAGTCACAGTTGGGTGGACTGTAGTAATCCTTCTATTACGTATTGTGCAGAAATGTTCATGTCAAACAAAATGTGCAACAGATGGTAAGGCACATAATTCTTACGGTCTATATCAGTGGACATCAGCGCTATCAACACGCTGCAAGAAATAAAAGCGCAAAGTAAACGTAGATGCTTACGAAACGGTCACCAGACTACCAGTATAGTAACAAGGCCGGCTTTTGTGCTAGGAAAGTTGCGCACAGAGAATGTGCATTTCTTTTAGTTATCCAATGCTCACCAGGTTTTGTTAGCCGTGTTGTCTTTTCATGAGTGAATGGATACAAAGTGCGTGAAATTGTAATGCCGAACGAGCGTTATGAAAGGTCCTGAATTTCAACCCACTACCGGCTACAGAAAAGCAGCAAGCCACCCCTCAATGGCTTTCGTAAGTTGTGACGGTGAGCGTGGGTTACCAAAGATATGAAATTTCAAGAGTCTAGCGTTCATACGCCACCCATTGCTCCCATTCTTCATCTTTTTTTTTTATTCTTAGCACGCCCCTACTTTTCCCAATCTCTCGTTCATGCACCATTCTCTCCATTCCCCCTATGCATTGTTACCAAACCGGATGTTTCTGTTTAACTTAAACAACATGCAAGTCATCTTGCATCTATTTCTCTCATTTACCTCCTAACCTAAATTAGCAAAACCTTCTTTGTCTTCATATGGGGAACAAAAAAAAAGATTCAGTATTTTGCATTTCACTGAACTCGCTTAAAAATTCCATTGAATTGTACCGACGTAATCACTTGTCAAAAGTGGTAGAGCACGTGACTGTGGACACTGTGATTATACGCATGTGTTACCTCACGTTACCCATAGAAGCTACTATTCGTTCATGCGTCATATATACCGGAAGGACCTAGCATAAAGTGTGACTGTGTTACGTACCGTTACGGCGAAGGTCTTTTCATATTTATGCACAAAACCGCAGCTGCATGAAGTGACCGTTTGGGTGCTCTAAAGAAGTCTGCTTCCGTCTGTACTCCTATACAAGGCCACTTGACCCCTGCCATCTAACCGAACTAATGTGTGCATGACTCCTTGTTTCAAGCGAAATATAAGTCTTTCCTTGAGGGCTACTATCCACCGCTGAATAACTGCCTTCATCTTAATGATCCTATATGCGAAAAAAATGTGGGGCAGTTTTTTTCTGTCTTTCTCTAAAAAAGCCGGATCCGGAAGCCGGTATTGGGCTGAATTCTAGGATAATGTAAAATACGCGTAAGTGTGTTCATCATTTCAAACACTTCTAATGAAGATGGCACACTTCCCTAATGTAATGTTCACTAAAAAAACTGTATCGAAACAAATATGGGCGTAATCCTGCATCTGTATTATCTGTATGAATGCAGCAGAACCAGCACTGTGTCAACAACCGTGACCAAAAGAGCCAAACGTGGCCGCATCTAATGTGTCTTATTTGTGTCATAGTTGCTTTGTTATCGTGCTTGCGCTTCACAATTACTTTTTCTGTTGAGAGTTTGTACTCACTGAAGGACATGCTACTGCGCGGCAAAACGTGAGCAGCAGAAAACGTACGAAGCCCATTTTCCGCTCCTGCCTATCAGAGTTTCTTTTCGTGTATCGCGCAACAAAATGGCGTACTTCTTTGGCTCCAAGACGGTACATTTGCAATATATTTCAACGGAAGTAAAGTTTTGGGTACCCTGTTGCAGAAAGGTAAATGATTTAGAGGATGTGCTTTAGCGATGTTCCTCATTACTGGGCAGTGATCAAGCTAACCAAGTCAAGGGGGGCTTGGTTGACCCAACAACCGGGGTCAGCTTTGGCCCGTCCGGAGGGCCCACAATGTGGGGGTCAGGCTTGGCCTTCTCGTCCCAACGAAAGAGGAGCCCACTGCACGCTAGTCGCGTCTCTCACGAATATGACTAAACTTTGAACAATCAGCCGATCAATCGCTTTATTTCTTGATGAAGAAGTGATCCTAAACAACGTGCCATAAAGCCATCTAAGCAGCCGAGACAAAAAAAGCTGCAGCATTTTTGAAGGTGTTAAATAGAAGCTAAGAACGTGAATGTACTGCCGACCGTCCAGTACAGCGCGCCTGTTGCCAGGTGGAGTCACTCATTATTCCAGCCTAGTTGCCACTACGCTCATTCAACAAACGACGGTATCGACGAAAGCACAAAATAGTGTTAACTGTTTTCCAAACTATTGCTATATCATTAATTTGGGGGATTTCGTAACCAATTTGAACCCCGACGAACTGGTGCAATTTATAAAAGCCAAATCCAATTTTTACTCATGAATGACAACAATAGTGGGGTGAATCGAATGACAAACAGGGGAGATTTTATCGGCAATATAGGACTTAAGTCTTTTGGTGACACAAGCACACTGGCGCCAAATTGTTACGGTTGGCCTGACCATATTGTCAGTACTAGACAGATGTGGTTTTCGCTGTTTCATTTGCAGTGGACTTGGTTCTTTCAGAAAAAAACACATATCTGCCCCACAAAAACGTTCCGAATGTCTGTCCCATAGTGAAAATTGGAAGTGTCCAGAACCTCATGTGTTTTTGGGAAGAACACTCGAAACATGTACAGATCGCCAACTGAACACATCGTTGTTTACTGTACTTCGTGGTGGTCGGTGTGCGGGCCTTCGGTTTGACCCGATATATGTACGGGGCAGCGTACTCATCAGGCCCCATATGCAGACAAACGTCATACGCTGCAATGTGTGCGAAAGACGGTTCTAACTCATTCATATGTGGGACATATGATCAGAGTAAACGGGCCGCCAATGACAAAAAAGCCCTGCTCAGAATGTAGTGAAAGGTACGCCGAAGATTGTAGTTGATCCTCAGAGAACACGTACGTAGATCACGATGTCGTACGTCTGATGATCGCTTTCGTACACGTAATGACGCACAGTGTGGCTTAATTAAAATACTTTCAGATACAGATAAGCACTATTAAAAATAGACTTACTGTGTGCACGTGCATCTTAGTCTAATCCTCTTATCAGAAATGATAACCCAATATCAATTTAAGTGATTGAATATGCAATGAACACTTTTGAAACGATACAGTTTTATGTATGACGCGCCATTCTTGAGGATATGTTTAGCGTAACCATCTCTGATATTCCTATTTAAATATAAATAACACGTAGAAAAATACATTTACCGAACAAAGGTTGCCTTCTTTTCGGTTAAACATAATGCGCTTGAAGAAATAAACTACAGACTTCATCGTTGTAAAAGAAAACAAGGAAATAACTGTTATCCCAAATGAGAAAACTCAACCGTACTGCATTTGAGAAAGGACACCATGTGACATTTCAGTGGCTGCCAACTCATTGCGGCACTATAGGCAACGAACACACCTTAAATGTTTCTCAATCAGCTCTTAAAGGCGTCACGGAAGAGACTGTACCCTAACGAGGCCTGATGTTGCTAGCTGACTACGATGGTCTGCGCAAGATGATACGCAATCTGCAAGAAATGCAGCAAGTAACCGCAACAACCGGTGACAGCGCTTTAATTGAAGTCCACCCTAGAGAGGTCATTCTGCTTGGTCAGTTACTGCTAGGGGTAGCTTTCAAAAAAAAAAGAGAGATGAGTACCATTTATAGGAAGGCAGAAATTTCAGCCGCCGTACAGAAATGCTTCTTTTCGTGAATAAGGCAAGTTCGGATATAAGTGAGACGTGAAGAATGCTGTGAAGGCGAGAAACAGGTAAATATCAGGCACAGAGTTTTCAGGCTCTAACGCGAGTTCGTGTGATGACAGAATCCATCATTGTCTACATTGACCTGCAATTCAGTGACAGGAAAACTCCTTGAACGCGGGGTATAGCTGAAGCCACTTAGACAGGTGGTCTTGTCTGTTAAGTGTATAGCATTTTAAAGGCCTGGCTCTGTCGCGTGATCGCGCTCACAATCAAGTGATCAATGCAAGCCTAAAGCATGCTCACAATGCTTAAAACCGGGAAAAAACAAATGAGCAAGGTCTAAAATTCTGTATTTAACATAAAGAGTTTGGAAGCAATTGTAATAATTAACTCATAACTGGGGAAAAGCCCCGAGTACATTCGCCTGACAGCTGCACCATCTAAGAGAGGGCGCCACCACCTGGCCAATCGCGAAGTTTCTCCTCCCACGGGCGCTTCTCGAGCGTCATCGTCGCTACATCTCATGGAGAATGCAACCATACGGAACCCACTGCAAATGACACGAAATTTCAGCTACCCTAAAAAGCAGAAAATCCATAAAACGCAGGAATAAATAGGGCGCATGTCGCACACCGAATTTGCCAATATTCCTAGAAGATTCTAGTTGTACCGGGGAAACCCTGCAGGCTCACCTCAAACATTGACGTCATCGACGGTTTTGTAAGCAGAGCAGTGGGTATTACGTAAATACCCACTGCTCCGCTACACACCTTCGTAGGTGCGTAGGAGAGCAGTGTCTTTCTAGGTACTGCTTTCTAGAAAGGTTCTATGCATCTGCTCTGCTACGCACCCGTGCTACGCATGTTTTCTAATTTCGCCGTAGTGGAGCTTCCTTTTTTTCAAGGCGGCAACTGCCTTCTTTAGCCCGTGTATATTTAGTTTTCCTAGACTTTTTCCCAACCAAAACAGGGGATAAAACGAGAAGGAGGAAACGGGGGTGGGGGTGGAGGAGAAAAAAGGACTTGGCAAAGTAAAAGATAGCCTCGCTATTGAGAAAAAAGACAAGGCAATTTGTTGAGACGGTGGCTATAGCGACATTGATTTTTCATCTCTTTAAGCTT